TTAGGCCACGAACAAACACTTTCCACCTTTCCTTGTCCTGGGCTTGTCTCTTGATTTCATTCCATGTCTCCCACTTTTCTTAACACCGTTTTTTGTTCGTGTTTCAGTTTCTGTCAGTTTTTACTGAGTCGGGTAGTGGGTGGTTGGCGGGTGCTCTGGTATGGTTTACTTCTTCTTTCCTATCAAACGTCTATCGTCTTTATCTCCCCTCCTTTTTTGTATTTGTTACTCTCTTGCAACACCTTTAATCTTCCGCACTTATACGACCTTATTGTGTTGCAAATGCCGTAAAACTCTTACTGAAACAAAAAAAAGAGTCGTGTAGTTGGCCCTCCACAAACTGTCATTTTTGGAGAGACCAGGCCTGGTCCTATCCGCCTGTAGTCGCCTTGCTTTCACTTGCCCCGTGATTTTATGCACCCCGCATAATTTAGCAAAATTTGATCATTTTTTGCATAATTTCTGATTATTTTCCTTTACCCTTCTTTGTTAAAATAAACAGAATCGCATAAGTTCACACATTTTTGGAGCTCAGTTTGCATAATTTCAGAATTGTTTTTGTATAAAACCGCAGGGCCAGCTTTAGTCGCCTTTTACGACACGCAGTATCACGGCAGGTGTTATTCTTTGTTGCCCCAAAAGTAAAACTATGCCCCGCCCCCCTCTCACCTGCAGGGGAATGGGTGGTTGGCGGGTGTTATGGTTTGGTTTGCTCCTTCTTTCCTATTAAATGCGTATCGTCCTGATCTCTCCACCTTCTGTTTTATGTTTGTTACCCTCTTGTGACACTTCTAATCTTAGGCACTTATGTGACCTTATTTTGTGTTGCAAGTGCCGTAAAACTCTTTCTAGAACTAAAACCTACAGGGGCGATTTCCATCTTAATAGTAATTACTTTTGGATTTGCGTCGTAAATTGCGCAGTAGTACCCATCCCACCCGCACCTTTGACTCATGCCTGAACCCTGACCCTGACTAGTGCGAGTTGTGACACTCGCAAACTTATCAAAACCGTTCAACATTCTGGAGAAATCAGGCACAAAGAATTTAGAGAAACCACACAATACACCCACAGGGCTATTTCCGACTCGATTGGTCTAAATCAGTCGACAGTCGCAATAATTAATGCTCAAGTAACGTGTGGACAGTATCCGCAAGCCTCAAGCGGCTCCCTGAGTCCGCCGGATCTGAAAGGCGGTCCTGACGACGGCCAAGCCCAGTTGCCCGAATGCCAAAGGTAAGACGTCGCGGTGAAATGAAACGTTCGTCAAAATAATGAAATATTAAAAAATAAAGACGCCGACATTTTCCTGGATGTGAGGCATTTTTTTTCTTTTTTTTGGGGGGGTGGGGTGGGGGAGGTTAAATTGTTCTGTTTCTGGCTCAACACCTTTCTTGTGAATTTGGCCGCTTTTAAGGACAAGCTGGCTATCCCAGATTTGGGGGGGTCGAGAAATCTTGGCCTACACCAAACGTGGACATTGCCCTACCTATAGGAGAAGTTTGGTTTCTTTGGTGTGTGTATACTTGTTTGGTTATAGAGAAAACCCTCCTTGTCTTTTAAAGAAACTGAACAAGGGTCCAAAAACTTTACCTTTGATTTTCTCAAAACAGCATTTTTCGGGATAGCCCCCTTGTGCTTAAAAGTCGACCATTAAAAAAACCATATTGTTGGTTTATCTGAAGGACGTTGATTAGAGGCACACAAAATGGAAATGCTCACTTTTCAAGCACCCTCAAGCTATGGAAGTCTCTTTCACTGCCGAAACCAGGCTCTTTCAATCGCAAATATCTCGACTTCTATTCAAGATACCCGGGTATTTTTTCCACCGAAAAGTACACAAATGAACAAGCTTAAAGACTATACCAATAAAAATAATAATGGATTGCATTTGCATAGAGCATACCCACTTATGCAATGCTCTATGCTCTTAACATGAAACATTACAAATCAATTTTAAAAGCTCATAGTATTACATACGCGTGCACACACATATTCACGAACGCACGCACCCACACACACATACACACATACATACACACTTACGTACATACGCACATACAAACTTACGACGATCTACAGCTTGGATGGATTCTGTCTACTCGAAATACGATGAAAATAGAAATGCTTTTAGTTTTTTCTTTAAAATTTCTAGATAACTTCATATGTCCCAAACTTGACGAGCGCCCGATTCCGCCACGTCGTGACACGAGGTGTTTCTACGTAAATGGGAAATATCCGATAAGATTGGCTTTTCAGTGGGCTCCCACCTCTGGTATGTTTCCCATTGGGCTCTTTCCCAGACAAACTAGGGGTTTATCTACAATTACAGTCCAGTGGGTGGTTGGAGGGCGCCTCTTGGTGGGTCCTGCTTCTTTACTTTCCCTCTGTTGTTTCTGTCTGTCTGTGTGGGTGGTTGAAGGGCGTCACTGGTAGGTCATACTTCTTTACTTTCCCTCTGTTGTTTCTGTCTGTCTGTGTGGGTGGTTGGAGGGCGCCTCTTGGTAGGTCCTACTTCTTTACTTTCCCTCTGTTGTTTCTGTCTGTCTGTGTGGGTGGTTGGAGGGCGCCTCTTGGTGGGTCCTACATCTTTACTTTCCCTCTGTTGTTTCTGTCTGTCTGTGTGGGTGGTTGGAGGGCGCCTCTTGGTAGGTCCTACTTCTTTACTTTCCCTCTGTTGTTTCTGTCTGTCTGTGTGGGTGGTTGAAGGGCGTCACTGGTAGGTCATACTTCTTTACTTTCCCTCTGTTGTTTCTGTCTGTCTGTGTGGGTGGTTGGAGGGCGTCACTGGTAGGTCCTACTTCTTTACTTTCCCTCTGTTGTTTTTGTCTGTCTGTGTGGGTGGTTGGAGGGCGCCTCTTGGTAGGTCCTACTTCTTTACTCTGTCCCCGTGGTTTTATGCACCCGTATAATTTAACGAACTTTGATAATTTTTTGCATAATTTCTTATTATTTTCCTTTATCATACTTTGTTAAAATTTACAGAATCGCATAAATTCATATTTTTGGGCTCAGTTTTTATATTTTCATACTTTTTTTTCATAAAACCGCGGGGACAGTTTACTTTCCCTCTGTTGTTTCTGTCTGTCTGTGTGGGTGGTTGGAGGACGCCTCTGGTAGGTCATACTTCTTTACTTACTCTCTGTTGTGTCTGTCTCTGTCTGTCTGTCTGTCTGTCTGTCTGTCTGTCTGTCTGTCTGTCTGTCTGTCTGTCCGTCTGTCTGTCTGTCTGTCTGTCTGTCTTACTTTTCCCCAGCACTAAATTTCAACGATCACATTGAGTCGATGTGCTGCTCTTTACTCAAAGAAAAAAGAAAGAAATTACAGTGGGACCTACAGGCTGCTCTAACGCCACATGTCCAAGGCGATAATCTGTTCCCGTGGTTTTATGTACGCCGATTAATTTCGCAAAATTTGATCTTTTTTTTGTGTGCATAATTTCTGATTATTAACATTTTTCTTTATCATTCTTTGTTAAAATTAACAGAATCGCATAATTTCACATTTTTTGGGCTCAGTTTGCATTAGTTCAGCCGCTTCAACATTCAGAACGAGGTCCCGGATACACTGTCGGTGGATATACGCAACCCGGTGAAAAGCGCAGAGGTGAGGAGAGAGACAAATGTGTCTTGGCGTGGGGGAATCAGGCGCTTGTCAATTTTTGGTCATGTGGAGTTGTTGGTATTGCCTTAAAGCTTGTTCATTTGCCTCGCTTTCGAAGAAAGAATTACCCATTTATCTTGAGTACATGTTCAGATATTTACGATTGATTAAGCTATCCCTGTCGTTTTATGCAAGAAAAATTCTGAAATTATGCAAAATGAGCCCCAAAAATGTGAAATCATGCGATTCTGTTAATTTTAACAAAGAATGATAAAGGAAAATAATCGGAAATTATGCAAAAAACGATCCAGTTTTGCTGAATTACGCGGGGTGCATAAAACCACGGGGACAGATTAAGGTGGAGTCACGTGGTTTCAGAGGTAAATTTAGTAATAAAATGCCCGCTAAAGTTTGGTTATTAACTTACAAAGCATCGAGAGTCCGTGGAAACTGATAACTTACATGTTGGTGTGCCTTTAATCCACTTTTTTCCCCCAATATAATTCACACTGAAATAGGTTCTTAAATAGACATAGAAGGTTTTAAGCAACAACAAAAAAAAACCGACCAAATTTCGATGAAAATCGCTGAACCGGCGTAAAAATGCCAATTTCTTTACTTTCGTTATTTTGACGAGCGCCTGATTTCACCACGCTGCCTCACAAATGATGAGAAGAGCTGACGATTTTTTGTTTGTTTTAGTAGAGGTTTTACGGCGCTTGCAACTGCAAAAGGTCATATGAGCGTCAAGGGGCGGATGTCAACAGAGAAGTCCTTACAGGGAATCAGACTTACTCTGCTCACCTCTCTAGCTTCAACAGCACAAAGTCTACTTCGACTATCAAGGCACCACGGAAATAGCGGGTCACAAGAGTGTGACAAACATACAAAAGAAGTAGAGGATAATGACGAAAGCAAGGATTAGGAAAGAAAAAGTAGCTGTTCCTTGTTGCAGTGGAGGCACAGTTATGAGCATGACATTGATGAATCAGCCCATTTACAACAAATCTACTGTGCATAAGAACTCGAGATGTTAATGTCTCCCCCCGCCCTTTTTGGGGAATGGCCAAAGACTATTATACTACGTTCGTATAGTAGTCCTTGGGAATGGCCTCAAGACACGTCGGTCAGTAGCACCCCGGGGGGGGGGGGGGGGGGGGGGGAGACAATTTTCTAAAGAGCAAATTCGAAAATGAAGCCAGCAGGTAGGAAAACGAACCGTCTGTCCTTTTGCCGGTTCTACGGCGAAAGTCGCAAGATAAGAAGGTACGTCGTCTGTCGGCGACTGGTGAAGCGGTGTATTTAAGTGCGTATATATAATACTCATACAGCTCCTCTAACCCTTCCAAACCACAATCAGCGTCACCAAACAAGAAGAGGCAATATATATTTCCATCATGGTGGCGCCAGCTGCTGCATTTACTGGTAGGTACCTTCGTTAGTTACCGTACCGTAAAGGTTTTCTTGGTGGTGGTGGCGATCTCTGCTGCTGATGTTTTTAAAAAAATGATAATAGTAATAATAAAAACCAAAGCGTTGTATCATCATCATCATCATCATCATCATCATCATCATCATCATCATCATCATCATCATCATCATCATCATAGTCGTCGTCGTCGATGCCGTCGTTTGCTAAGTAAACCTGGATACAGAATCTGACTAACCAGACAAACGTAAGTTCACCCTCCACTACACACGCATACGTTTATTTGGTCGCTTTTAAGCTCAAGGGGGCTATCCCAAAAATGCTATTTTGAGAATATAGAAGGTGAAGTGTTTGCCCCTCGTTCAGTTTCTTTAAAATGCAAGGAGAGTTTTCTCTATAATCAAACCAATATACACACCAATGAAACCAAACTTCTCCTATAGGGCAATGTCCACGTTATAGTCACTGTTCTATAACAGTTATTTCTTGTAACAAGTTTTGCTCGTAAAAATTGACTTCGATGAGCTGTGACGTAGGCCATATGCGTAATCAAAATGTGTGTGAGAAGAGGGAAGAGCTGTGAACAATATCATTACACGCGTGACAGAGATCTCAAGTATTTAAAATAATATGATTAAGTTAAGACAAACTGATACAAACTGTTCTGCAAAGTACGGGTGACATTGATTCACCCGTTAAAGAGATATTTGAAGATTAGTTGCACCTCGAATTTTTGAGCGCACTATAGGCTTGTAGATTACAATTTCTACGCCATAATCCAAAATATTTTTTACTGATTTCCTACTATAGGGCGTCAAAAATTTGTGGCGCAACGTATCCCCAAAAACACATGTGTCTGTCGTGAGGCTGGTGGGGCACCTAGAAATCGTGTTTTGTGGTCAAATTATGCAAATGGAGGTTATTACATATTTTAATACCTGGACATTTCCTATACAATATCTAGAAACATTTTATGTAAGCCTTGCTACACCCTAGAGCTGTGTTTTTTCCCCAGGTTTTCCGCGAACGCACATGTTTTCCAGCATTTTCTTACCTTAATCGGCTGTTTTCTCACAATTCTATTTTTTCTCACATTGTCCCATTTTTCTGCCCTGTTTCTTGTTCAATTTCAATGTAACTTTCAGAAGATATCAACAACACGTATATCTAAATTTTGGCTTGTTGAATTTTTGATTAAAGGAGTAGTTTTTTTAATTTATGGGCATAGAAAGCATGAATTGTCCATTTTGTTCACTTTTTTTTTGCAACAACCCAATTGTAAGTGTCATAAAATAAAAACTAAAGCGTATATAAAGAATTCAACAAGCAAAATTTTAGAACTACATATTTACTGTTAGCCTGCCAAACTAGAAGTGAATCAGTTAATAAATAAGGGAATAAAAATTGATTAAAAAAAGGTATACAAAATCCAATATGGCCGCCGTTTCCATAGCAACCGATTCACAATACATGTATACTTTTTAAACTTTTGATTTCCCATCCCCAATACTACACAATGTCCCACAGCAAATATGGGAACTCTAGGCCTTGTAATAGCCAAAATAGACCTCAGGTGCCCCACCAGCCCTTAACGAGTGAACCAATGTCCCCCATAATTTGGACAGCAGTTGGTACCAATTTGTCTTAACTTTATCATATATTTTTTCAGAATAATTGAGGCTAGATTAAAAAATGTTGTTCATAAAAGTTATTCCGGTATAAAATACTACAAATCTCTGTCACGCGAAAAAATGGGAGTATTCACAGCCAAAATCACAGCACTTCCCGCTTCTAATACACATCTTGCAACGCATATGGCCTACATCACTGCTCAAGAAGAACGCTTTTTTTGTGGCAAAATGTGTTTTTTAAAGTTTTTGGAGGAATCACAATTTGAAGAAAAGAACAATGTCATAATTTCAATCGAGCAGTCACCCTCTCTCTCTCTCTCTCTCTCTCTCTCTC